GACACATTCCCAGCTTTGACTTCTTCCCCTGAATCAGCAAAAATGATAAAAACCAGCAGAAACCACTATATTGACTCTTACCAGACATGCAGAAGATAACACTGCCCCATTTTACACAAAGGAAGGCCATTCTGCAGCTCTAAATGTCCTAATACATGTTTTGGGTTTTTTCTTCTCTCCCTCCTCCTGTGGCTGCCCCACCCTAATTACATCCCCCAGGTGCCTCTCATTTCTGATGATGAAGGTATTTGGATCCAACAGCTACCTTAATTCTTGCAAACTGGCAGGAGGCTGAAGATGAACTGCAGGCAAATGTTACATGTACACTAAGTGCTAGACTGTGCATTGTTTTTGCCAGTCATAGCAGTATAAAAGAATGGTTTCTCTAACTTTGAACATCTTTATCCACTTTTTACTATATTAAAGTAAGGTCTGCTGACCTTGGAAAGAGACAGAAATCTGTCCAGAGCAATTCATGCTACCTATCTCTGATGCCAAGCTAAAAGAGAAGCATAAAGTGACATGAAGTAGCAATACTGTCTGTGTCTATTGAAGCATACAAGCATTTCTGCTTTTGAAATGATAATCTAGTAGAACTGCAAAAAGCCAGTGTTCAGGGAAAAGTAGTATGGTAAACATTCACTGGCAAGCCTTATAGGCCTGATTCATTGCCTGTTTCTCTGAGCTGTAGTCCTCATAATTCCATAGATGTGAATGGAATTACACAGGAATGACACTGAAACAATGTGGTCGTGGTCACAGGCCATAATCAGTCTAACATTTTTTTTCTCTTACAAAATTGGCTGGTGTAAGGTTGCCTGTCTGAAATTACTCCCGATATTTTCTATGAAAAGGCACAATCAGATTATGCAGAGAATACAGAAGTAGATTTCAAGGCTTAAGCCCATCTCTAATAAACGTAGGATACAGTTTAGGTGAAGCTGGCATAATGTTCCTCAGATAGGTGCCTAATGCTTGTCGGTGCCACACAGAAAGATTTCCAAGGCATACACTCAGTCTGACTGTGTGACAGTGCAGGACCCCTCGAGGTTACTAGTCTGTCCTTTTTACAAGAATATTAGCAGTGCCGGTAGGCACGGAGTGACTTCCAAATGCTAGGGCCCAACAGATGAAATATTCCACTCCTCCTCAGACTTCAGAAATCAGTGGGGTGTTCTGCCAAGGAGCTGCCTTGCATAGCGACAGTATTGAAAAACTTGCATAGTAACTTGAATAACTGTAAAGAAACATCAGATTCCATTTTTTCCAGGACCTGTTATTTGTGGAGGAGGAGTTGGGGTTTATTTACAATCATGTTATGATTCTTTATTAGACTGAACCTTAAAAAAATATATATACGTATATAGTCCTCCCAAAATGCAAATACCATTGGCCAGTTTCTGAGGAAGGAAAAGCATCCTCTGTTTGCCTGTTCATTTGCTAAAATCCCCCAAACCCCACCTTTTTAGACTCTCTGAATCAACCCGGGACTGAAGCCAAAGTCACCTACTATATAAGACTGAGAGAGCACAGGTGAACTACTCCTCCTGACCAACTTCAGACCTGACATCCTTGTGCCAGACTCCACTCAGAATGGGGTTTGGCAGGGGGATGTGGGTATCAGAATGGGCCTTCCTGATAGTAATTTGCTGTATTCATCAAATAGGTAAGAAGTTCTCTTTTTTAATTGAGAAAAGAAAAAATACTCTGCTTAGAGTAATATATTTTAAACAGCTATATTCATTTTATTATTTCACTTAACATATATTTGCATTTAAACAAGATTTCTTTATATCTTCTTTAATTTTCATTAAATATTTAAGGTATGACAATTAACTGCATTGACTTAATTTAATATTGCCTCAAACTATTGCATATAACTGCATTTGGAAGGTAGCCTTGAAGATAAAACCAAAAAGAACCATTATTCATGTCTTAAAATCAGGATTTTGTTATCTCTTATGCCTTACAAAAATGTTTTATTCCTGTTGCATTTTGTTAGGATTAATCAATTAGGATCGATTATGAATGGTATGTTTTTTGTGAAATTTAGAACATTACATTTTCCAGTTGCTAGGTCTGACGACTGGTCAATCTTTTCCAGTATCTTGTCACCTACCAGGAGCTAATACCAGATTCTTCAAGATTTCTTGCAATTTCTTCTGCAAAAGAGACTATAAGGAAATATTCATGTGGCAATTATTTTCAGTCGTTAATTGTGCATTGATAATACCTTATGCACAATATTTATATTAATTACTGATACTGAGTGTGAGCAGGACTGGGAGATTTACCTGACACATGCAATTCATCATTTTGTATCCGAGGGGTTTTTTTCTCCTGTCAATGTTACATCCATCAGGGCTGGTTTTGGCAGTTTTAATTAATATAACTAGCTCCATGAAGTCAATGGGACCACTCAAATTGAAATGACTTGCATGAGTACAAACTCGCCAGGTCAGTCCTATTCATGTACAGTAATTAACCACCCGGTCAGCTTACATTTTTAAGTCTTCAGATTGCCTATATAAATTTATCTTGCATATAATTTTCCAAACTTCGACAACTGCAACTAAAGTTTTAGGCCACCTTACAGTTTGTGAAATAAACACTAAAATGCTGCCAAGCTGATTTAAGTACAAAATACAACAGCCGCTTAGAGTATAAGCTTACGTTTAGGGTTGTGCAATGTTAGTCAAAAGTATTTTCAGGCATTCATTGAACAAGAAAGTTATTTGCACTGTGCAATGTTAATCTGATAAATTGCTTTGAAAAATGAGTAGTGGTGAAAGAGCCCAGCAAACTCCTCTTTATTTGAATCACACTCTGTGAAAAACATTTTCAGGTGTCCTGAGTGACTAAAGAACATTGGACAAATCCCATCCCATTTCCACAAACATTCTGTGCCTGACTTCATATTTTGTGTGAAATACTGATTTTTATAAATTGATTGTAATGATAATTGCATATGTGGATTGGCACCTGCATATAAGCATAGCAAGGTGCATCCAGAAATACTCCTAATAATTAGGTCAGTTCCCAAATTTTCACACTGTAAGTTATCTTGACTGTTCTTACAGCTGAGAGACATACATTTATAATGCCCAACAACATGGCATTGTGCAATTGCTAAATAAACCAGTGCAGCTAGAATTTCCTTGGGAATGATGTATTTGCTAATTAAACAAAAGCCCCTGCTGTTTCCTTGAGAAAAATTAACAGGCCAAAATACATGTATATACTATTTTGCTCTGTTAGAAAGGTTCTCATGCTAGAATAAACAAACATTCTATGATTCTGTGCCTGCTGAAATTCCTGTAGATGTGTTGAGTGAGATCAAATCCTGGCCTATTATTAAGACTACTGATATTATCTGTGATACTGAAAGACTAACAGGAAATGAAAAATGGTTAAACTCTGTCCTAAGTTACTTTTGTACATCAGGATTCGTCACGCATGTTAAATGAGTTAAATGAGAAAATAATTAAGAGCTTAGGTCTGAAAGAAACTGCAGACACTGCAGCAACTTCTAGATAAGGTGAGGCTGCCCAGAACCCTCTCCTCCAAGGCCAGCAGTCTCCTGGGGACCTCTGAGAGTGGGGGCTTGAATCCCTTCAGTCAGACATCCTTCAGCTCTGGGATCAAGTACTCAATCTACTGACACGGTGGGCACAGCCGGAAGTTACATTAGAAAAGTAATTTTAAAATGGTGCTCCTGATGTAGTTATTCTTAAGGCAAGGGTAGTTGTCCAGCTTTAATGGACGTATCTGGGTGGAGGGTCTCAAGCAGAGGAAATGCTCAGCAAGGAAGGCAAGCACCAAAGGGGACTGGAGCTTATGGCACACCCCTGACTTTAGCATTTCCCCCTTTTCCACCAATGTGGCTCCCTGTTCAGCAAGATGGGTACTAAGGGTCCATTTCTGAGTCAGCAAACTCTTCCCACCTATTGTATAAGGAAAATGGGGCTCAATTTAGGACTAAATTACATAGGTAGTTCATGTTTGACTGAGAAATTCTCCAGGCACCTGGAGTGCCCATTCACACTATCCCGATCAGGATTCAGATACTATTCATTGATCCAGCTGATCCAGCAACATTTAAATGGAGGAACAAAGAAAATCCTTGAAGCAAGGCACAAGAATAGGACAGTTTTGATGTAGCTGAGTGCCCTAATCATGGTCATGACCTATATTTTCACCCTTTATCACTATCCTACTCTTTTCGGCACCGTGTCTCAGCTTCAGGTGGGGCAGCAAGAACTCTTGGTCAAATAGAGTGTGATGCTTAAGGTGTTCTGCAGAGATGTGAGTTTGAATCATCTCAGAGTGAGGAGAGGGGTACAGCAGGAAACCTGGTCCTTTTGTTTACTTCTCATGGGTTACTGCCCAGGCTACAGGCCCTCGTACGTACGATCACTCCAAAGTACTTTCTTCAGCATCCAGCTGTAAAAGCAAATCTAGATCTCTGATTGAGGCTTTAGATTGCTCCAGAAGAAAAGGCCCTATGATTAGGCACTAAAGGGACTATATAAACATCGACAGCCATTACTGGATCAAGATCTAAATCTCTCAGTTCCTTTAACCAGTTCTGTGTCTTTTCTTAGTACCTTACCTAGCTGCTACACAACAATTTCGATAAACGACTGTCTACATTTTGTGAATTCTTCCTGCAATTGTTTCACATATTAGTGAGATTTAGTGCAACAGTGAAATAAGGGTTGTGATCCAGTCGTTAGAATCCCTTGTAGTGAGTTTTAAGGGAAACACAGAAAGCAGATACACATGAAACTTTATTTGGATTTCAAACACTGTGTTTTTTGCAAAAGAAAGTCTCTTTCTATGTTTACATTTTACTGTTTTTTGGGGGCCTGTTAAACTTTTTCTGATGTGATAAAGGACTCTCCCTATTCTCTCACAGAGATGTATCTGGGTCCTTTCATCCTATAAAAGTTCACATACAGGACATTGTACTTAATACGCTTTTTACAATTTCTTCACAGGAGCCCAGATTGAAATCCAACAGAAAACAGGAAGCCAATACACCTCTGATGTTCAGCAGAAACAAAAGAGTATGTTCATTTACACTGTGCATTTTTATCTATTTGCTACATGTCTACTAAATAATAAAAATGCCTCAAAAAAACTCCTTAGCATATTGCTGGTAATATCAAATAAAGATAAATGTATAATAACAAGCCTCTCTCTATATATAAGAATAGTAACATCTTTTTTAGACACCAATTACTAAACACACACAATATGGTTACATTTTTTAATAATGAGTAACTAGGGAAAAGAGGCTGTATTCATATGTGCATGAATATATATATACATATAGAAAATCAAAGTGGAATATATGATGTTTGATTCTTTACAAGCAAGGAAATGAGATCACTTTGGCAAGCTGTGAAGTCAGCAGCTGATGTTGGGAAATCAAATGGCAAGCCAGCTTCACTGATTTTTGTCATGTAATGATTTGTGATCATCCTATACAGCAGATTTGTGGTAATATCTAAGGCTTTTCAGTCCCTTAACAGAAAAATATTAAATAAAGAGCAAAAGGGATGATTAAAGCTCTTATTCCCTCCTTAGAAAGAGGAGGTGTAATGAGAAAGCAACTACGCTTTTGTAGCAGTAACAGACTAATTTAGTACAGCTTAACCCTTTGTATTGTTCAGTGCATCTCAAACACTCCAATATGCAGAGCTGTGAATTTCTGCCTCTAACACAACACAGAATTTTGTAAGAGGGTAAAAATTAAAAGGTAGAAAATGCACATCATCACAGTTGAAAGCCCAAACGAATGATTTTCATGATTTAACTAGCCTGATTGTGAATTTTAGGAACCTTTAAACTCATCCATGGCCTAAGTAAAACAACACAGGCTTAACATTCTTCCTTTGGATCTGGTATATTAACTTTCTAGTCCTTTCTAAGTCAATTATAGGTGTAAATTTTGGTATTGTTATACTAGGTTTTGGTTTCTTTCTTACTTTTTTCTAGTTTCTGCTACAGTTTCATCTAAAGTCAACATCATCCAGCCAATGCTGACAAATCCAGTAATAACATGTAAGTACAGGAAATCAAATGTATTCAGTAATTTTTCCATTTTAGGGGATGTAGACAGAGGAATCTAATACACATAGGGAAAGGCGCTGGTAAAGCAAGTCATGGATTACTAAGAGGAGAAGGAGGATGGTTAAGAAACATAATATTGAACTGTTAGCTGAAATGTGGACAATTAATAAAGCTCTAGCTGAACGTATGTAACCATTTATAGTGGTATGTAAGATGAGTAACAGATATGAGTGAAGAATGAATACACAGTTTTATAATGGATAGATGGATAACAAATGAAGGCAGGCAGGTAAAAACTATTAAATGACAAGATGAAGTCTTGGACAAGTTGATTTTCACCATGTTTAGGCTGGGAATTGTAAGTTATCCTTTACAGCTAGTTTTAATTCACAGCTTCCAATCCCTCTCACATGGATCGTGTGTGCAGCACATGGGGCAACTTCTACTTCAAGATGTTCAGTGGACACATATTCTCCTTCCCTGGGCTCTGTAACTATGTTTTTGCATCCCACTGCAATGCTCTCTATGAGGATTTCAACATCCAGATCAGGCGTGTAGTGGTGGAAAATGTTCCAACAATCCAACGTATCACCATGAAACTTGAAGGTCTAGCTGTTGAACTAACAAAGAATGGTGTCATGATTGACAGCAAAAGGTAAATTTATTCATAATGCTTGTGTGGTAACCACAGACCTTTTTTTCAGGCTTGCCAAGTACTTTGGTGTACCTGGGGGAGGGGAGGGAATTATGTGTTCTTCAATAAATCTGACAAATTAACCAAAATAAATAATAAATAAGCTGCTATTAATTCCTTTCACAGTAAACCAATTCTTCCATCAAAGATTCCCTCAAAAAAAAAAAAAAAGGAATGAAAAATACTGAGAGGTTGGGTCCAAATTCAGATCTGTATTTGATGATGCAGCCAGTAACCCTGGACAGATGGTCACTCAGTTGGATGGGGAGAGAATTAGAGGAAAAGACAAGGAAACTCATGGGTTGAGATAAGAAGAATTTACTAATTGAAAATAAATGAAATAAGATTATGATAGTAATAATTCTGAAAATACAAATTATACTAGTATTACTAAGTATAATCTGAGATGAAAATAATACTACGACTACTACTACTAATATATAATTAAAATAATGAAAAAGAAAACAAATTATACAACTGCTCACCACCCAAGCAGCAAGAGCCAGAGCTGGAGACCCCAAACAAGTGAGAGAGTGCAAGACCAACACCCTGTCTCACTCCCCACCACTTACATACTGAGCATGATGTTTTATGGAATAAAATAGCCCTTTGGTCAGTTCGGGCTAGCTGTCCTGACTGTGTCCCCTCCCAGCTTTAGTAGACAAGAAGTTGGGAACACAGTTGGAGTATCAGAAACAAAAAAGTCCTAGAGTTGATATAAACATTGCTTAACCATCAGTATGTCATCAACATTCTTCGCAGCACAACCAAAAAAATGTCCTAATACTAGCTACTGTGAGGAAACTTTAACCTTCTCCCAACAGAAACCAGCACACCATATTTTTTCTCTTTATTATCTCTTTAACATCTGGATCAGAAAATACCTAGCATTTTTTCTGCCTCTTCCCAGAGTTCAACTGCCATACAGTCAGCCTGGACTTCAGATAACAAAAAGCAACATTTATGTGAAAGTTACCAGCATCAGGGGTATACTGTTAATGTGGAATGGAGATAACAGTATCCTGGTAAGAACTGCTCCTAGACCTGTCTAGACCTTCCGAGACTACAGCTAATCTTTGATTAGGCCAGTCCCTATCTGTTTAGGGTGGTTACTATTGCCTTCCCATCTCATATTGTTGAGCAATTCTTTCTTAAGAAAGATTTGCATCCAGGTAGTCCTAAAGAAAATTACATGGATTTACTTCTAGTGGATAGTGGATGTCTGCTTAAAATAGGGTGAAAAATCACTTTCATTATATCATTAACATATTGTCATTGTTACAGGGCCTACTTACCCCTTCAAATATAATTTTCTAGCAGAAATTCACTCTCTTAGGACTTCATTTTGCTGTAGATTCAATTACCTTTGTGAAGAATGGAGAGAAAGAGGCTGAGAACAATATAGATATTACAGTGAAAACCTAAGTCTGCAGTTTGGACTCTGCATTGTAAATCAAATTCAAGCCATTTCTTCATTCTGTCCCCCAGGTTTAAATTAGATTGCTAAATAAAATTTCACAGATCTGATGAAAAATACTTAGAGCCAGCAGGTGCAGATCTGGAGTATTTTAGGATGTTTATACTAACTTCATCAATTACTGCCCATCATTTTAGCTGGAACTGGATGAGAAATATGCCAATCAGACCTGTGGACTTTGTGGGGACTTCAGAGGGTTTCCAGTTAACAATGAGCTCTCTTCAAACAGTAAGTTTTTTATAATAAAAATTGATTTCTGGAGTCTCCAACATGCTTTTATTTTTTTTGTATTCTTTTAACTCTAACATCATCAGCATTCCTCTTTCCTATCCTGTTAGATAATTCACACAGAAGATATGATTCAATGTTTGTTGGAAAATATGTAGTACAGAGATCAGATAATGTGATTTAATACTTCAAGTATCAATACAGTACTGGTGCTAACAACTGATTGCATATTTCTTGTATGCCATGGCTTTATTTACCTCATCAGCTAACCCCATTAAAATGAGACAGATTTTCACTAATATCACAAATAAATATTAAAATGTATTTAATTTTAAAAAAGGCAATTGTATTGTCTAGGCAGTACATTTATTGTTTCAGTTCTGCCTTAAAATTGGCATATCCACATTTGCCTGCTGAATTGCATAATCTTTGTAAGACCTTATCTTCACCATTCTATCCGTTGCCAGCTTGAGCTTTTTCATAAACCTTTTCTCACAGCAGTCTTCACTGTCCAAATCCCTGTTTAGCTTCTTTTCTCTCTTCCCTGCTTGGGCTCAATAAAATCTGAAAACAGTTTGCTATTTTTCTGGTAAATATCTTAGTCTGCATCTAGATGTAATAGGTTGAGAATTGTTTTCTAATGTTTACTTTTTCCAGGGTGCTGTGCAAGGTAAATTGAGACAGTGATGTAGTGCTTCCTTTGGAGGGGATGATGATAAAATTTAAAGACTTAAGGGAAGCAACTGCCTTGGCCAGTCTTGAGCAGAATTCTTGAGAGGAGAAAAAGGTAACAGGCAGTTGCACTGAACAAAAAACCCCAAACCTTCATTATTAAACTTCTTTTGTACAGACAGACAAGAAGACAGGAATAGAGACTTGCAGTTTGGGAATTTGCAGAAAATGAATGGGCCAACAGAAGACTGTGAAGATGTCACTTCTACCCTGCCAGATAACTGCACTGGTATTTCTGTAAGGAACTTTTGACTCTTCTTTTTCTTTCAAATTTATATGTACCCTTGTACAGCTTCAGACAGGCCAACAGGAAAAGTGATTGGGTGGCAGCAACTGAAAAATGAACATCAAATTCTATCAAAGAATAAATATACAATGTAACAATACCAAAGACATTATTCCTCTCTATTTTCTAATAGTTGTTATTTTTTTCTCTCAAGGATGACATATGTCAGAAAACATTGACCAGCTCTGCATTTTCAGAGTGTAATCACCTAATTGATGTTAGAGGGTACATTAAGGTTTGCCAAGATGACTTGTGTCACTCTAAAGAGTCTAAAAACACTTCATGTATCTGTGACACCTTTGCCGAATACTCCCAGCAGTGTGCTCATGCTGGTGGGCATCCTCTGAACTGGAGAACCTCAAAACTGTGCCGTAAGTATCACTGGAGATATCCTTACTTTACACTCAGTAACTAACAACAAGTTCTCAAATGATGCATGAGAAATTACAGGTCATTCAGGACTGTACGCTTCAGAGGGTTCGGATGTACAAGTTCCAGCAGGAAGACTTCAGCAATACAGTTAAGGGTGTTAATGCAAACTGGATTAAACCCTATCAAACACTTACATGCATACTCTAATTGACAATCACAGTGTTATTTAATTAACAGTAAAGGAAGCAAATGCCCCATCCCTGGATGTCTTCAAGGCCAGGCTGGATGTGGCTTTGAGCAACCTGGCCTAGTGGAAGGTGTCCCTGCCCATGGCAGGGGGGTTGGAACTAGATGATCTTTAAGGTCCCTTCCAACCCAAACCAGTCTATGATTCTATGATTCAAATAAAGGAGAAAGAAGGAAAAAAAGAATGAGGTATGCTTGCTTGCTTGCTTGTATTCCTGTTCCTCTCTGGTTCTCATAGTGGCTACAGCACCGTTCAGTCTCAATTATTAACCGATTGGGTCTTCAGAGGTGTTTGGCTGGTTAAGCACTTACCTCCTCTTGCCTGGTAGTGAGGAATTTGCACCACTGTGATCTTCAGAGGTTTGCACTGAGTTGCATACGAGATTACAGGGTGTACCTGTTGACAGTGTCACCAGCATTTGTTCCAAAACAAAACACCACAAGTTACTGTTTGCCCTTCCTAAAAAATGCAACTATCTAAAAATTGCAACTATACTAAATTGTTAGGAAGTTAAGTCTTGCATTTCACTAGTGACAGAGGTGTTCATGAGAAGGGTTCCTTCATTAGAAACACAGGCCTTGCTGACTTTGTGGGGTCATTAACTTGTTCCCAGAAATCTCGTAATCAAGCCAGTTCAGCACCAGATAGTTATGGCAAGCACACTTCAACTGTAAAATATGTGTCTAGGTGACTAAAATTTTGAATTTTGAGAGTTGGCGGTGGATCTGCAGTTTAGTGTGATTTTACATCTATCTGAAAAACTGAAATGAATATAAATATTTTTATATACAGTGAACTAGAAATACCTTTGGAAAAAAATAATCTTCTCTTTTAAAATTTCAGCCAAGAAATGTCCTTACAACATGCAGTATGAGGAGTGCAGCTCCCCCTGTATTGACACATGCACCAATCCCGAAGAATCCAGCACTTGCAAAGAACATTGTATGGATGGTTGCTTCTGCCCCAAAGGCAAGTTCTTACGTACTCACATCTCTGACCTGAAAGAACAATAACAGCTTACCTGTGGGATTTGCGGGTCCCATGGGGTTTAAGCCTCCTGTAACGGACTTTTTCACAGCTACAAGCGACAAGCATTTGTCACGTCTCAGCTAAGAAAAGATAGCTGGATTAGTTATCAATACATGCGCAATAGTCAGAAAGCAGGAAAGCAGAACAGCAAACAGACCAAGACCAATCTCTCAACAAGCCACCTGTGCTACAATAAGTCCCTCTTTCAAATCAGGTGGAATTTAAGAAAACAGAGGTTGAACCTTTCTCTGGGGAAATGGGCATAGTCCTGCCACCCTCAGCATCGGTATGTCCATTCACGACAGCTGCAGATCTGTCTCTAAGATGATATTTAGGATTTGTAGCAAACAAAATTGTGTGTAGGAAATGTCTCTTTAATTGATTAAGGTTTTGCCTTTTTTTTTTTTTCTCCCCCCAATCTAGGGACTGTATTTGATGACATCAACAATTCTGGCTGCATTCCCCTTCAGCAGTGCCCCTGTGTTTACGGTGGCCAAACCTACACTACAGGAACTTCTTTTTCAAAGCAGTGCCAAACCTGGTAACCTTCGTTACTTTTCTAACTTACTACTTCCTCTCATATATTTAATGAGTTTAATGATTTATTATATGCAATTGCAACATTGGTAATTGATATGTGTATTTAACTGACCACTAAAGTTCCAAAATATCCCTCAAGAACATTCTTTGTTTTATTTAGCAACAGCCTTAGCTAGCTTTGCACTCTAACACAGGTGATCAAAGCAAGGATTTACAATGTTTAGATTTCTCACCAGTCAATAAAAATTCTTCTTCTTTGTTTATTTTGTTCAAACATTTGGACTTCTCTAAGGGGAATGAAGTTGCAGTCATTTGTGTATCTGCAAGTATTTGTTTTCTCTGGAGAAAGCAAGGGATGATACAACACAACCTCAATTTCACAATTATTAATTCTGTACCTGTGCACCACCACATCACCTTTGAAAACAGATATGCTCTGCATCAGGAGTAGACGTGGGGTTACATTCCGGTTAGTTTCTGATACATCTGTATAACAAAACACAAGACATTTCCATTTGTCATTTTGCTTTATGTTAGCTGCAAAACCCAAGTATTTTTTACTCATCCAACAATGCTGCTGGAGAGTTCACCTGTGCAAAGACGGAAAACGATTAAATAAGCAAAGGGAATGCATACCACAGTCATTCCTTTTGCACATGCTCGCCGTGTTTTGGGAAGTCTTACACGTAGATTTACTGTGTGTCAAACTACAGCTTGAAAGGGCAAAAAGGTAGCAAAAGAGCTGAACCAAATGTCACTGTAATTCCTTTTACTCTGGACACTGATTTCAGCTAACTCTGTTCTCTCTCCACCAGTACCTGTGAGGGAGGCAGGTGGAGTTGCCGAGGCACGTCATGTCCGCGAACATGTGCGCTAGAGGGAAGTTTGCACATCACCACGTATGATGAAGTGCGTTACAATTTCCAGGGCGACTGCACTTACATCCTTTCTGAGGTGAGAATCAGATATGATTAGGTCATAAAGCCCTTATAGATTTACAGAAAGAAAGGTGATTTCAATCAAAATTTAATGAAATTTACCTCTTTGGGCATAAAGACATTACGTTGCCTCTCACTCAGCCAGATGTTTACTAGAACATACGTGACAATTATCAGTTAATTATCAGGATATCATGCAGCAATATATGTTGTTTACTAGGGAATTTCTAGTTCTGTGATGTAGTAATTGCTGAAGAGGATTGCCTTTTTTTAAGAACTTGGTTAGTCTACATTCTTCAGTGTGATTAATCCAGTTTTCTAAGGTGCATATTTTTTGCTTTGTCACTGTAATATATGATATTGGGTGAAATAGTATGAATCTGAAAGATTACACTGAGTTCCAATTTTATTTTTAATTTATTATTTATAAGACTAATATTTTTATTTCATTTCTGGGAAGTTCAAATACAGAAAATCAGTTCAAGTCAGCTGATAAATTTCATTTTTTGAACATTTTTAAGCAGATTTCAAAATAAGTCAAAAGAAAAATTAAAAATTAATTATAATAAAAATATTTAATAATAGCAATGTTCAAGTGAAATCTTTTAGGGATTTTTTCTGTTTGTTCTTTGCTTTCCTTTCCCCTCATCTGCACAATTCAGTTAAAAAAAAAGAAAATACTGTATGTTACTGATCTCCTGCTGTATTTGAGATATTTGTCTGATGCCAGCCACAGAAAGATGAGAGATACAGTGGCATTGAATCAAACGTTAGAAGCGGGCATGAATAAAAACTCCAAATAGACATATAATCAATAATACGCAAAAACAGATTCTAATTCTCTCACTGTTCTTAATCATTACAAAAGGCAAAACTGCAGCCTAGACCAAAGGAGGCCTGGGATTTTGGAGAGTCCAGTTCTCCAGAAACAGAAATATTTTTTCAGATTTGAGAGAAAATTTTACAGGCAAAGCTTCTGTAATTAGTCTTTCATGAAATAATTGTTGACATCTTTTTTTTTTTTTTTTCAGCACTATGGAGATAAAGCATTCAGCGTCCTGGTAGAACTATACCACTGTCACCAGAAACAGACTGAGACATGCTTAAAGGCAGTGATCCTTAAAATGGATAATGACCAAAGTGTAAGAATGCAAAATAAGCACGGGAAATTACTACTAAAAATATGGGGAACAAAGAAGCTAGGCCTTAATCAGTCAGGGAATTGTAGTTCTCTCTTAAATGGTCAGCACACGTGACAAGTACTTGTAATTTTTAATGAAATGAAAAGATTAATTTAGTTATGAAAATCAGGTCAGCCATAAATCTGGCTTTGTGGATGTTTGGTAAGAAAAACATTGTACTTAGAAAGCAAGCAAAAATAAACTATTTTCTCTGCCAATAAGGTGGAAAAAACCATGAGCTTTCAGGTTAGAAACTACAAGTGCAACAGTAAGGGATGTAGTTCATCAAAAATGTGTTCAAATAAACTAAGATGATGTAATTCCCTATGAGGTTGAGAAAGTCTCTTTAAAAAGGGATGGATGCCCTATCCCTGGCTGCCTTTAAGGCCAGGCTGGATGAGGCTTTGAGCAACCTGGTCTAGTGGAAGGTGTCCCTGCCCATGGCAGGGGGGTTGGAACTGGATGATCTTTAAAGTCCCTTCCAACCCAAACCATCCCATGATTCTGTGATTCTAAAAAGAATTCTTTTATTGCAGGAAAATTTAATAAACTGTACAAATTGGAAAAAGAAAGGAGGTGAAATCACGTAAAACTCCCTTTTTTATTTAATATATTTTTAATTAATACCACTGGAGACATCACCATTATTACTTTTTGGACTACAGTTATCCTTCACACAGTTGCCTCTTGTTCCTCTTCCTTACCAGATCTTCGAGGTCCAACCTGATGGTCACGTGTTCCTCAACAACATGCGCATCCATCTGCCCATCTCAGCAGGTATTTTTTGTCTAACAGCCTGTGAGCATTACGTTCAGGACTTCAACTCCACACCTGCTTATTTTCTTAAACTATGGAAGATAAAAGTACTGTGAGTTGTTCGGAACCTGCATGTTCCCACCCTGGTTCTCTTTGGGATATTTCCTGAGCCACACATGTGCTTTTGATGTAAAATTGGGAAATTTGGTGTCATAAAGAAATGGGAGACAGTACATGCATAGGCAAGAATTCAAACAGAAACAAACAGTATTTACGCTCTCCTGATCCTTCTCACTGCCCAAACCCAAACAAAGAAGACATCTGTTTACCTATTCTACCTCTTCTTTTTTTTTTTTTTGTAACTTGCCACCCCTGTGCTCATGCTTCCTCAGACAGAAAATTGATTTTTACTCTCTGTCTCAATAATTAATGATTCTATGTGATATCTCTGACCTCTAGATCTGCCTAGTTTCACTCTCCAGCAGAGGACTCCAATGTATGCTGAATATGCTTAGAAACAGAAATAGAAGCAATGTTTTTTAATGCTCAGTGCCACACAGTTTTTCCTTCTTATTCTCTTGGAAGGAGTAATCTCCAACTGTTTAATGTTGAGACAGTAAATCAAGTTAACAACTTGGTAGCTACAAGCAAATTCTGAACTGTAAATTTTGATTCATATTTCTGATCCATTTTCATATGGAAATAGACGATCTTTCAAGTCCCTTCCAGCCCAAACTGGGCTATGTTACTATATAAATTGGCTTTATTTCACCTCAGAATTTGCAACAATTATGATATAAATTCAAAAATAGCATAATGATGCACTGTTTCCAGCATTCAACCTAATTCAGAAAGTGAGTGTCCTGTTTTCCATCCGTAGAAAATGTCACTGTGTTCAGACCTTCATCATTCTTCATCATCATGCAGACAAACTTTGGCGTCCGTGTTGAAATCCAAATCACACCCATCATGCAAGTATTTGTGCAACTGGATCCTATTTTCAAAAAACAGACCCATGGTAAGTGAATGAAATATAAGAACATTTTGTTTAATGTCTTTTGTCTATTATGAGCTGTATCAACTTTTCACTGCTTTTCAACAGGTCTCTGTGGAAATTTCAATGATGACCCAAGAGATGACTACCTGGCCCCAACTGGAGTACCTGAAGGAACAGCAAAAGGGTTTGCTGGTTTTTGGCAAACTCAGAGTTCGTGTGCAGTGCCAGGGACCATTTCTGAGAACCCTTGTGCACTCAGCATTGACAAAGGTGTGTGCTGCTTAGATTTTTTTTTCTAGTTCTGGTTTGGTTTTTTGGTGTTGGGGTTTTTTTTTGTCTCTAAGGAAAACACATCCATTAGAAAGCAAAGATGAAAGAATAAAGACCTATATACCTGGTAAAAAATACATCTGGAAACAGAAAAAAAATATTCAACATGAAAGCACTAGGGATAAGTAACAAAGTAAAGGAAGAGACATAGAAACATAACTGAAGGAAACTGCATGGTCATTGAAAACAGAGAGGGTGTATAAGCCGACAACTTGGTGTCGGATGTGTGGATTGCAAAAGCACCTTTGGAAATCTCTTACTTGTCCCCTCCAGTAAGTCCACATTTTGGTTTTAGGAACCTTAGCCACAAGCTGAGTAAAAAAAAAAAAATTGGTGTAATTTCAGAACTGACTTCATAGAGCAGGGCAGCGCGGTTTTGTGACTGACGGAATACAGAGAGTAACGTGCATTTGTATTGTTTGTTCTCTTCACAGAGAAATATGCTCAGCATTGGTGTGGGCTACTAACTGACAGCAAAGGGCCTTTTGCAGACTGTCACCATGAAGTGGATAACAAAGTTTACTACACGGTACTAGACTGATTTTCCCTGTAGAAACAATAGAGGCAGGATCATTGACACTACGTACCAGAAAAGGATTGTTCCAGACACATCACTTGCCTTGCACAATGCCTGTAATTTCACGTCTGTACTGCAGCACTTCGTTCTTTCAACATGTGTTTCTGTTTGTGTTGTAACATTACATTATTCCAATTATCAGTCTTGGCTTCAAGATCTTGACTTGCTTGCAAATGAAAAGGCAGCTATTTACTCCTGGATGGATATACACATATAGTAGGAAGCGTAGGTAAAGGCATGTCAAATGCTTGTTTGAATACCAGTGATTTGTTGTCTCATCAGCTTCTTATCTCATTAATACCTACTTGGCACAGAAAGCCCATTAGCTAATTATCATCATTCTGCTATCAGTATGTTGCCAACCCTTCTTCTCACTGTCAATCATCAGGTATGGACAGGGGTGAAGTGACGTGACTAGACTGCGTACTGCAACCAGATCTTTGTGTGCTGTTGTGCAGCACAGTCAGCAACACGGTTCAGAGGGACAGGAAGCTGTTAAATGTATAACAGGCTTTAAGACCACTATTTCCCAATAGTAACAGCAGACATGGACTAAATTTTCATTAGCTTCATTTTCTCCTGCCAGAAATGCAGACAGACTGGAAAGTGATAAAGCTGGATGCATTAGTGTTGTCTGTGAGTGAGCATATCTGAAAAAGGGTTAATGCGTAAGACCAGAAAGGTAACATTCACTGGGTGGTTTTTTTTTTTTAGCTTGACAATATTACCAGTGCTGAGACTTTATTTTTCTCTGCATTCTTAGAACTGCATGTTTGACACATGTGACTGTGAAAATAGTGAGGACTGTATGTGTGCAGTTCTGTCTTCCTATGTGAGAGCTTGTGCTGCAAAAGGAATCCAGCTGCACGGATGGAGGAGTGATGTCTGCTGTAAGTACTCTTAAATATGCCTTTCCCAAGAACACACCTCAATAAAAACTGCTGATCAGAAAGTATTTTATACTGATTTCTAGATAAATGTAGTAAGAAAGGGCTTTAAATGTAGTAAGAAATGTAGTAAGAAAGTGCCCTCGTGGAGCTAATTCTCTGTTGTTCCCCTAGAATCAATCCATTGCTAGCCAGAGTGAATACAACAAGGTGGGAGACACAGCATGTTTAAGAAAGAGACTGCTGTTATGGAAATGTCTTCACCTGTTTCTGTGCATCCTTCACTACAGTTTTCTGTATCGCAAGTTACTGTAGAGAAAACGTGACATTTAGAATAACAGTGCTAGTAACACTAACCCCAACACTTGCAAGGGAAAGGTCTCTGAAGCTGCATGCTGGGTTCCAATGATCCAGTAGGTCTGTTTTCAGCATACCAGGAGACATCTTGCACTTCAACAGATTTAGAACTCTTGGCAATGAATGGCAGTGCCAAGTGGAGGTTTCTTTCCAAAATTTCACTTGAAAAGTGAAATATTTAAAAAAAATAAATTGCCTTTTTTGCATACATCACTTATTCCACATGTAGAGTAACTTTCCAGGTCTAACTCTGGAAGTATGCAGAAATACATTTGCATGAAAGGTGGTAGAGATCTACAGTATTGTTTACATGTTATTTCTACTGCCTATAGTTTCTTTTTTCCCACCAGAAATCACCTGTAATTAACAAACATTCTATTTTCCTCTTTCAAGTAAAGTACACCACCTCATGTCCCAGATCCCTAAGCTACAGCTATACCATATCTTCCTGCCAACCCACTTGTCGGTCTCTGAGTGAGCCTGATGTCACATGCAACGTCAAGTTTGTCCCCGTTGATGGCTGCACCTGTGTAAATGGCACCTACATGGACGAGAGTGGCAATTGTGTGCCTGCTAGCAAATGCCCTTGCTACCACAGAGGATCTCCCATCGCATCTGGAGAAGAGGTCCATGAAAATGGGCTTGTGTGGTAAGTGAATCTTTTTCAAAACACCCAAACATAGCATATGTATTTCCTCATCGAACTCTGCTACATTTAAACTGCTCTCACCCTGCCACCTGAATTTCAACACGACGCTCTCCCGTTTTGGTTTTTTTTGTTCGTCTGTTTTTGGGGTTTTTTCAACTTTATTTTCAACTCTTATGAATGGTACATATTCCCCTGAGCTGGAAGACAGAGACAGGGAGCAGAATGAAACCCCCATAATCCAAGGGGAAATGGTTTAACTTCTTTTCCAAGATACGTGATTCTGATTCTGTGATATTTCCCAATTGATACAGCAATTGTATTTGTGTGCATTTTCTCTTTAATTCCTTGATTTTTCAAGCATAAAGTTCTGACAACAACAGCAAGGAGAGATCTTACGAGAAAGTAAGTAACAAGCAGAGACATAAACTCATTCCAACCAACGATTTTTCCTGTTAAGCACTAGCGGATATCATTACAAAGCAGCACTGGTAGTGTGCTGAGGGAAATTCTTTCCTGAGACTGCAAAATAGAATTCTGGAATTTCTTTGAAAATTCTGTAACTTGTCAAGAGAGAAGTAGCTCTCAGTCTCAACATGTGATTTGATAGGAAAAAACACAATGGTTTTCCCTCTCTTACAGCACTTGTAGCCAAGGAAGACTGAATTGCATTGGAGCACCCAATCCAACTTCAGGTAAAAAAAAAATCTTCCACTTACCTTTTTTTTTCTGCTGTTCCAGGTTGGACAGAAATAGTTGATAGAATTATTTTTTCTTAATGGATTTTTAAATAATACAAGTATTTTTCATTTACTTATAGTGAAACTGTTATCATGAAAGGCAGGAGTGAGCCTAGATTAGTAACACCTCTTTTTTTTTTTTTTTTTATTTAAAAGAGGTGTTACTAATCTAGGCCAACAACCAACAACTGTGGGTTGTTTTCTGGGAATTCAGCGCTGTCAAGTGGATCTATTCAGCAGATTGAATAGGGACAGCAATCTCTACTAACTGAAACACTCAATTTCCAAAGAATTTCCAGGTTTTACTGGCTACAGCTGTGGGATAAACCTTGTGCCATTATCTTACTGCTCGCATTTTTTCCAGAGTGTGAACCTCCCATGTCCTACTTCAACTGTAGTAATGCCCCTGCAGGAGCAACTGGGTCAGAATGTCAAAAAACTTGCCAGAATCCGCGTGTAGGCTGTGTAAGTATGTCATGACTGGATGAAATGGTGCTTCCAGGTTTTGTCCGTGCTCTTGGTGCTAAAGTCATTGATCTATCTGATCTACTCCAAATATACAACACTGGTACTTTTTTCTCGTAGCAAAAGCTTAAAACCATGTTATGAAGCACTAACAATGGGACTCTTTGACCAAAATATAATAAAGTAACATTGAATTTAATTAATAAGATTAGTGTCTACCTTTCAGCTACTGCAGGTAACAGGAACTAGTAGTGAAAACACCCAGGGCTCTGCCACTCACTGTACTTCTTCAGGATAAAATTACTAGCTATAAACTGGCTAGAAGAAATCATTCTTTCTTACACCATGATGCAATTGTGAACTTCTTGCACATCTGATTATATTATTCCACCTAGCTGCATGGTAGCCATGAGCCACTTTGCAAGTAAGTACCATATGAGATAAACAGTTTCAGTGTAACTCAACCAAACTGAAACCAAAAAGTATTTATTTTCTTTGTAATAAGAAATATTACTTATTTTCTTTTTTAAAGCTCCAGTCACAAATCACCCACTACAAAGTGCAAGCCTTCTTCAATTAACACAGAGCAAGACCCAAGTTTAATGTATCTCAAATTTCACAGGCTCCAGCAGAGCAATCAGGATTAGCATACATAAAACATTTCTCTTTAACAGATCTATATACTATTAAATCAATGGCTAGTAACTTCCTTTTTGTTCCATTGTCCTACAGTGGTACTTCATACTCCTCTCCCATTTAAGCTGAGCTGCAACAGGTCCATATAAAGTCATTTTATGATAATTTTCTTTATTGTTATTATTTTATTCTGAAATTATATCTTCCTTGTGATTTTTCCAGTATAGCAAGCATTGTGTATCTGGCTGCATGTGCCCAGCTGGACTTGTGTTAGATGGGAAGGGTGCTTGTATTCCTGAAGAGGATTGTCCGTGTGTTCACAATGAAGCCACGTATAAGCCTGGGGAAAAGATCAACATTGACTGTAACACATGGTAAATATTTCTTCAAGGTAGCATTCCTGGTTCCATCATTTGCCTTTCCAAAGATCAGAAAGAGTACAGCAGTTAGGAAGGATTTAGGCTGCGTATTTCATCAACTGAGTTTTGGATTAAACAGTATGAGCAGGTTTCCTTCTGATGCAGGCAGATGGCCAAAGCACAGAATGGGAGGAAACCTTTGGGACTACAGTGTTCATTAAGTATTATCCTATTTTGCAGTTAATGCATTCAGAGTAGCAGAACTGAACCTTGCCTTAATTCTTTACTTGAAAAATGGAAACAACTATTTTTAACTCCAGAATCAATATAATATTTACCAGGCATGAGTTGCCAAACAAATACTGAGTTTTTAAGATATGACTACACAAAACAGTGAGGTTTTTTATTATTAAAATATTTTATTCTCATTCCTAGTGTATGCAGGCGTAGCAAGTGGGAATGCACCACAAATAGATGTCCGGGCACTTGTTCTGTTTATGGAGATGGACATTACACCACCTTTGATGGCATAAGGTTCAGCTTCAATGGAAACTGTGAATACACACTAGTCCAGGTATGGATAATTAGCAACAGTAAATGAGACGGAACCTTAATCATGTCTACAAAAATAACATATTTTTAAATGTTACCCTCTACTCAGGACCACTGTGGGAAGAATGGCACAGCCAGTGGGACCTTCAGGGTTATCACAGAAAATATTCCCTGTGGCAACACTGGGACAACTTGCTCAAAATCTATCAAAGTTTTCTTAGAGGTAAGAAGGTTTTGCATACAGACCAGCCTTGTTCTGTACCTGTTTAGGATTTAGGAGAAGCCTAGACATCCATTGCTTCAAAGAAGCTGGAAACATATTTTTAAAGGCAGATCAACCTGTAAATTAAGCTTAAATCAGATTCAAGTGAAACATTTGGTAGAGCCTCCCAGATTTCTATTTCTTTCCATTTCCCACCCATCTTACACCACTCTTGGACAAAGATCTTGGACAGATCTACAGGAAAATTGTCTTAAGCAGAAATTTAGCCTATCATGTCAGAAGATTATTTTATTCTGTGTAATGTAGCTCCTCCATGAATACAAAAACACTCTTTTTTTGACCTATGCCATTTAAGGTATCTTTTTACTAAAGTTCCAGGAACCTGAGATTTGAACTATATAGTTTTGATTTATCACATTTGGACTACTTGTTTTCATTATACAAAATATTTGTTGTACTCTTAAAAGCAGAAAAACATGTTAAGAGCACAGCTGCAGCTATTGAGCTCATTTCTAATCACCTTTTCCTCTGGTTTCAGAGCTATGAACTGATACTTGGCGAGGAGCATGTCAAAGTCATACAGACAGAACAAAATTATGAGGTGCCATACACAGTCCGCTACATGGGTATGTACTTGGTAATTGAGACCAGAGGCGGACTGATCCTCATGTGGGACAAGAAAACCAGCATCTTCATCAAGCTCAGCCCTGATTTTAAGGTGTGGAACTAGCAGTTAAATGGCAACTTACAGTCCAGATTAGGACTGGGTGTGAATTTTGTTGAGACCCTGCCAAGATCTCAAATGGGTGGTGTGTCTAGATGTGTCTGCAGGACATCCCAGGTTGTTTTTTATTCCTCTGGTTCCTCAGGAGGCCATGTGATCATCCTGCTGCTGTTCTGAGCCCTGAAGGCAGCTTTCAGTGACTATTTGGCCTGACAGAACTTGAGTTGTCAAACCACTTTTTTGGACTTGACACTGTTAAAATTACCTGATGAACCACAGTAAAGGTTATCAGACCTTATTAAAATTGCATAACTGCATGTGTAGAAATCGATTGAGTTGACTTGATCTTGGAAGTAATCCATTCTTTCTAGTTCTCGTTGACATATAAATCAAATTATCATACTACAAGAACAAGGAAGTGAAATATTATGAGTGAAAGCCTCTTGTAAAATGCTACCACGTATTTTTCAAGCATGTACCACAGGTGATAAGGAAAATGTATTCCTGTTGTCATACTCCTTATTATAATATCTTATACGTACTAAAAATTGCAGTAAATAAGGAATTTGCTATCTTATTCTATACCATAGTGACATTTCAATTAGTTATATAAATTAAAAGTAATTTAGAACTAGATATACAAATTTAGTTTAGTATCACAGGTTCTTTTGCTGCCTCACCCCCTGGCACTTTATATAAACAGTAGTAATATAGAAAGTATGCACCTTAGATTCATAGAGAAAGCACAGCATCTATTGTAGCCTATCACAGTCTTACAGATCCATACATTTAGAATGAGGGCTATTTCTGGATTTGCAAGGAAAACGTCACTTCTTTTTATACTTGTGAGCAGTCATAATAGTAAAGACTCAGTGAGTAGAGTGTGTGGCTGAACTGGTAGTATTTGACAGTATCAGACAGCTTTGTAAGGCTGTTTTTCTATTGTATAAAACAAGACAAATAAAAACTTAGTCAGCCAACACCCTCATCTCCTTGTTAAAGACAGAAGGTTACAAGGACAAAGATGGTTTTATTGTCCAGATTTAAAAGAAGAAAAGTCAACAGCAGTATCCTACTAGCCTTACTGGTCATGTTCTGTTGCTGAGGAGATAAAGGATGAAGATATTCAGGAATCTTAGAGCAGAATGGCACTGAGGTGTGAATTTCAAGTACTCTTTCAGTCTCAGATGTTGTTTCAAGTATTCTCACATCCATTGTTTTATTTACTTCCTTTTGCAGGGCCAGACCTGTGGCCTCTGTGGAAATTATGACAACAAAGGCAACAATGACTTTACTACAAGGAGTCAGTCTGTGGTAGAGAACGTCCTAGAGTTTGGAAACAGCTGGAAAGTATCCTCTACATGTCCTGATGCTTACGGCATAAAGGACCCATGTTCCACCAACCCTTACCGAAAGTCCTGGTCAGAGAAGCAGTGTAGCATCATCAACAGTGACACCTTTGCTGCCTGTCACTCTCAGGTATTAACAGGGCAGAAGTTTACTGTGTGAGGACTAGATCAAAGTATTATTGAAGCTGGTACCCTCATATACTTTAACATGCATGCTGAATTCATTAGTGTGTTGCACTTTGAATTGTGTCAGGAAAACTTCAATCTGAATCTTGCCTTATGGGACAGAATTATAGACCCTACCTGTAAGAAATAAAAGGACATTCAGTTCATAGGAAATCTTGACCTATTATGAAAGTATAATAATTTCATAATTACTATGTATTTTTCTGTAGTGTGACTTGTATACAAATTCTCATGTACCATGTACAGAACACAAGCTCAATGAAATGATAACGTAACAATGAAGTATCAGCATTGCCTTTACTGGACACTGAGTACACACCAGACAATGCAGGGTAACTGTGCTCTTCCCATTACCTTAGTTCTTTCCCCTGGCAGGGATCTTCATTTTCAAATGCAGTTGCCTAATACTGCTCAGGAACATGAATCTAATCTTTCCACTAGGACACAAGTCTTGGTGTCTAAAATCTGTCAGTATGTGATTTGGGTGTATCACCTGAAATAACTGCTAGTGTTTAACAGTATATATATAAACAAAAGAAAGAAGAAATTACTGATACAGCCCTTCTGAGATATGACAGTTCTAGGATAACTACACAGCAAAGTCAAGAAAGAATTTAGAAGGCAGGTTGTATAGTATTACATTTCTTTTTAATAACAGGTTGAATCAGCAAAATATTACGAAGCATGTGTGACAGATGCTTGTGCCTGTGACACTGGAGGAGACTGTGACTGTTTTTGTACAGCAGTAGCTGCCTATGCTCGAGCATGTAGTGAAGTTGGTGTCTGCATAGCCTGGAGAACCCCATCCATCTGTCGTGAGTTTTATGCCATAAACACTACTTCTGAGAGTGTGGTTAAATGTACAGTGCTTTACTGACGTCCTTGAACACACACTCTATCTTACGTGTGTGTATCAATCTCACTGTGTAGACCTTCCACACTCAGCTGCTGCTTTGATGGTTACACAATCTCGTCTATTTCTTCACAGTTTCGAAGACCATTCAAGCAGCATTACAGTGATATGATGAACAGACGTGAGTCAAAAAAAGCCTTTTTTTTTTCCTGAACATGTCCAAATTTGTGTTTCTCCTTAGCACTGTTCTGTGATTACTACAATCAACAAGGAGAATGTGAATGGCACTATAAGCCTTGTGGAACCTCTTGTATGAAGACCTGTAGGAACCCGAGTGGAAAATGCCTCAATAACTTGCCAGGTTTAGAAGGTAAAAAGACCTGGAAGTACCTGTTAGCGGGTACATTTTACACTATTTTAATAGTCTTTAATAGCATGTATTTCCCCCATCAGCTACATTTGCACCAGTTCTCTTCAACATCATTGCATCCACATGAATAGAAGCAGAGTACGGAAACTAGTGCTAAAAACATCTCTAGGGCTAACTTCACCCTTGTGGGTGGTCTCTGCTGATGCTAGTGCTCTGCATTACTTCCTAGAATTACTGGGAAAAAAAAAAAGTAGTAAAAATTATGACTATTAAAAACAAGACCTGCAAACACATTCTGCACAAATAAAACTATTGCTGACTGTATCTTATTCTCTCCTTTCCTACCTCCTATACGCACTTCTCCTTCCTTCAGGCTGCTACCCTAACTGCCCACCAGAAAAACCGTATTTTCATGAGGATCAGATGAAGTGTGTCAGTCTCTGTGACTGTTACGATACTGAAGATGGAAAGATATACAGATGGAATGAATGTAATTTATGGTAAGATTTAATATACCAGCCCAGTCGTGTACATGGAAAAATGATCAAAACAGCAATGGGAAATAGCATGTTCCTGTTGCACAAGAGGACTAGCTTACGCTGCCTGTGTAAAAACAATGGCTTACTCTCTAACGCCAGTTTTCTTACCACACTAGTACTAAGAAGTTCTTACGTGATTTTATGTTCTGTTGAATTTCTTCCTATGTTGTAAATTCTCAGCATAAAGAAACAAGAAGAACAATAAGTTCTTTATGACCAGGTTTTCTCTATTTCCCATTCCTACAACAAGAAAAATACTGTTCCAGGAGTATATATATCTAAAAGGGGTCTGCTTCCAATGATTTTATTACATTCTTATACTGCTTGAAGCACTTAGACTCTTTACCTTTTTAGCCTGCTTTTGAGTACAAAAATATTGCAAGTGCAAAGAAAGTGATAAGGAGGAAAGAAGAAAAGTCTTCCTTAAGCTACAGACCTGTAGCTGTGAATATTTAGCTTGGGTTTAATATGTCAAGAAAGGTTTAGAAAAACAATGGGAAAAAAAGCTAACATGAATGGGACACTGAAGGAATAAACACCAAGTGTCCTGTCTTTTGATGCTAGTGTCTGGCAGAAAGATGACTAATAAAATAACTCATAAGCAAGAAATACGGGTTTTATGTTTTTTGTTTCAGTGAATGCACATCAGAAGGTTTACAGTGCAAGTTTGATGAGACAGGTAAGACAGCTAAGAAAAATTATTCAGAAAATGAAATACTGGATATTATCTTTTCATAAATACCTGACAATAAACTCCTGAATTACAGCATGCCACTGCATTTATGAAGAGAACAACTATAAATATGGTGAACTCATCTACAACACCACAGATGGAACTGGATGGTGTTTCAGCGCAACATGCGATGTCAATGGAACAATTAACAGAAATATCTTCAAATGTGGTATCTTTACAACTCCCTTTACATTTTCTACAAGCCAGCCCACAACTACTACTGCAGGTATGCATGAATGCTCTTTAAAGCAACAGAAAAGCCTCTGGAAGGGACTGACAGAGGCCTGAAAGAGAGGGCCTTTTTATCAGTTAATGACATATAATTTTACTTGAAACTGTTGACTTTTGCTGGTGCCACCAATTCATCTGGCAGCTGCAGTTGTTAAAGACAACAACAAACAAGGATGTAGAAATGAGTACAGCATTTCTTACAAACTTGGTCTCCACTCTTTCGCCATGTTTTTTCCAGGGGAAAAAAATAATGGCGCTTATTAATCATTGCATCTCCTCATTTCCTTATGAACAAAAACCAGCAGTTAAAAACTAACTTCCAAAAACACTAAAGATAATTATTGGTATTTTTTAAACTACTGACCACATTAGTGCAAACTGAAAAGAAATAATTTGAGCATTCCCTCAAACAAGATTTCTTTAAACCATTCTTTGGAAGCTCTCTGAATTGTACTTATTAATTCAAATCAACAATTTCCTGCAGTACGCCTCTACATTATTCCTGCAGTTAATTCATTATAGTGACCATGTAATTCTGAGAAACTGTGGAAAAATACTTCCAAAAAATTACACAATGCTACAGCAAAAACTACATATTCAACTTGAACTTTTCTATAAAGTAACATTTATATGAAGAAAGTGGTATACATGCCACTTGGTTATCTTCATAATGCTAAGAATCTGAAATCTTATTAAAACAAGCAGAAAATAGTTATTAAATTATACCTGGCATATATATTGTATATTCTGTATTACAATGTATTATAAGGGTTTTCCATTCCAAGCCATGAGCAGCCAGTTTCTCCAGGAGAATGCTGTGGGAAATGGTGCCAAAGGCTTTACTAAAATCCAGGTAGACAACATGCACAGCCTTTCCCTCATCCACTAAGCGGGTCACCTGGTCACAGAAGGAGATCAGGTTCATCAAGCAGGAGCTGGCTTTCATAAACCCATGCTGACTGAGCCTGATCACCTGCTAGTCCTTTGTGTGAAATGTAAATAAAGGATATCATATTAACTATACTTAACTACAATTTTAAAATAAATGTCACATAAAGTACCACTAGAAAAATAATACAGATATGAGATCAAAACCTAACACATAAATTAAATTCAAGACAGTCACAGCAAGTTCATTAAAATTTAAATACTACACTAACATATATAGTATTACATAAAACATTAAAATGTATGTAAGATTAATATTTTTTTTCCTGGCACTTTGTTTAATAAGAACAGACAAGACTTACATTTCCTCCTTTCAATTACAGAAATGGCAACTACAACGCCAGTGACAACTGTATGTGTCCAGAATGTATGTGTATGGTCAGAATGGTATGACTGCACACAGCCTGAAAACAAAGAGGACAGTGGAGATTTTGAAACATTTGCAAATCTCAGAGAAAAGGGATACAGTGTGTGTAAATACCCAAACGGTGTTGAATGCAGGGCCAAAGACTATCCAGATACAGAAATACACAACCTTAACCAAACGGTCCAATGTAGTCAAAGCAATGGATTAATATGCAACAACAAAGACCAACAAACTAAGCAGTGCTACAATTATGAAATCAGAATATCATGCTGCAGCTACATACCATGCTCAGAAATACTAACTACAGCACCAAGAACCACAGAATTCCCAACAACTACTGCTGTCACATCAACACCATCTACATTGCAGACAAAGATAAAAACAACAACCAAACAAGAAACTGAACCACAAAAAAGCGAAGTAACTACACTGTCACCACACGAAAATGAAAGCACAACTTCTCAGGCTCCAACTACAGTTACAGCAAAGACAACACAAGTCTCAACAACAGGTTATCAGACCACTACAGCAAAAATAACCGAAGCAACCCACACCCCAGCTTCACTCACTACCCCCATTTTCCACCAGACATCAATAAAAACCAGCACTGGAACAAGACCTGTCCCCAGAACCACTACCCCACCAACAAAAGGCACAACAATGATCACCACC